ATTCAGTTATAACCACGTTTTGAATGTTCATGTCATGAGGTGAGAACGATAGACATTATAACCATAGTGATCAACTGCACGGATCATTTGAATGTATCAAATTATTCGTCTACAAATATTACCTTACGACTATTTATATTGATACTCATTATTCCTTTTTTCATTTCAGCTACCACTCCTTCAGTTACAACAACGCAAGAATGTAAGTTTCCCTGATGTTATTATTGTTTCGATTGTCACAAACATGATACAGAAAAAAACTGTTTATTTGTACAATGGCAATTCGGTAACATACAATATATACATTGATGTACATCGTGCTGTTCCTATTTGTCTAGACCTTCCATGTGGAGAATTGTGCTACTGCTATCTTGACTGTGGTGGTGATTTCAGTCAATGCGAAGAGCCAATTGAAGGTTGTGCTACAGATGATTGCTATTGCGATTTCGATCGAGCTACAGGTAGAATGAACAATGGACAATGTGTTGTTGAGCCACATAAAGATATGTGTACTACCTCGGCTACAACAGTGAAGCTCACAACTGTTACAACATCACCAGTCACTACGACCATGCCGATCACATTCCAACCAGGTCAGTGTCATGCACGCATGTATTTTTTAACAGTATACACAAGTCAATGATTTTATTAGGTAGTTGTTGAAACATATATGCCGAAATATACATTCCAGTCTCATTGACCGCCAGGATCAGTGTCTAATGGAATTAAATGGTGGCATAAATTGCCGGTAGAGGTCACCATGAATTGTTATGAAATAAGCAATTCATCACGAATATTAAATATTAAAGGACATGACATTTTATTGCGATATATATATCTTATGATATTTACCTTTTTTATTGTTTTCTCCTTTATATCTTCCCGTAAAACCAATGAGGTAACAGTTTTCTTCGCCTCGATGACAGTTGATTACTTGCGCCTCTGTCAACAAACTATTAACAATTGTATTTGTTATTTGTCACACATTTATCATAGATTGCAACGATCCGTTAGTGGGACAGTTGTCGGATGTCGGTTACACTCTATACGGGTCCTCTGAGGTACCCGACAGGTCAGCACAGTCAGCTTTTATTGATAGCAAGGCTCCATGGTCTCCTGATTCGCTTGATAATGCACCAGCATTGTTTGTACACTTCTATCAACCAACACATCTTACTGGTATAGTCTTGCAAGGATTTGGCGAAGAAAAAGTTACAGCATTTCAAGTTTACTACAGTAATACCGGAGAGCCCAATGACTGGCACCCAGTTACCAGTGGACCATCTGCTCTGCCAACAATTGCCAAGGTAATATTGCCCAATGTATTTGACATATTTTAGCTTATTTGTTAGGGTGTGATTTTTATTTATATACTGCGCTACGCTCTGGCTAAAATCATAAAGTGGAAGATATATATCTGAGAGAATTGTTGAATTTTAAGTAACCTAACTATACTATAAATGATTCCTGTGTTTACATTAGGCATGAACAAAAAGATTTATTTTGTAAAAGATCAGTATCATTTAAGTTTTTTTTCTCTAAATTGTCAGTGCGAAATTGCCGAAATGTACTCCTAATCAAATTAAACAAATTCACAATCATTGATGAAAATAATGAAGTTTCAGCATGTTATATATCTCCAGACCCAAATTCAATATGCTCAATATTATCTCACTCTTCTTTGTTGCATAGCGCGGAAAATGTTCAATATAACCAATAAAGGGCTTCACAATTTTTAGCACTTTATTGCGACGAGTAATGCGACTAAAATGTCAACTCCAATACTCGTGAAAACCATACTATGAAGAAACATGCGTTAATGCTATTTCGACCACGTTCTACAAACCGATAGCATACAGTGTCCTTCTATGATATGCATTGATGACAGGTATATACTCACAGAAGTGAGTTTGAAAGATATGTTGTGCAATGGGTTTGATACAAATCGCACTTGTTTCCAGATCTACCCTGGGCTAAAAGGTGATGCTAATATACCAGTGAAGCGCGTGTTACCAATGGACCTTCCCCCTGCAACCCACTACAAGATTCAACCAACACCCAATGGTTTTGTTAACAGAATAAGTATGCGAATACAATTGCACGGGTGTCCAGAATTAGGTATGCTTTCTCAGCATCAAGTTAGGCTTGTGTGTATTTTCATTTCACTGCATCGCAGATGACAAAGTTGCTTACCGTCGATTGGTAAATTTCTGACTCTTTTCTATGTACAGTGCCAGTTATGCAACAATGTATAAACCAACCAACAAAAACATCCCAATAGTCATTCTGCTGCGTTGAAATATGCTCGTTGTAATAAACAATCACTTCAATAAAACTACCCCACAAATACATTACCATAGCAACAATATAATTTGATGTTCCCACCAGAATGAATTTCCAGAATGTTGAAAATCTAACCTATAATTTGTGCCGTCCGAGGATGAGTTTATTATGAATACTTCCCCGTACTGCATTCTTGGTTTGTGACTGAATTAGTATTAGCAGTGGTGAAGATTAAGCTCAGATAACAAAACAAGTGTTTTTTATGTCTATTGAGCATGAAACTTTGTATTTTATCAACACAGACTACTTAATACATGTATTCAAATGAACGAATCTTAATTACAATAATTTTTTCATTCCTAGTGACAACGACTACAGTATCAACTACAACCTCTATTCAAACTACCACAAGTTGTAAGTATACCAATTCATAATAATATGTGTTCTTTTTTCACTGTGTATCATTGATGATAGAACATTAATAATTATAAACTGTTTTTTAATTCCAGCTTGTATTGAAGAATGCAGCTGTATAGTTGATTGTTATCATAAGTTAGCAGGCGCACGAGTTGTTTCTCCATGCGAAAGTAAAGAAGAATGTCAATCGTGCATGTGTCCAGAAGGAAGTATTAGAGATGATATTTGGGGCTCTTCACAATGTTTGCAGCTACCGTCAAAATGCCCAGGTTGTATTTACAATGAAATTGAGTACCAGGTAAAACACATTTCTTGATCCCAATGGTTTATTTACATTGAATGAATTGTAACGCTAATGAGAATACAACCAACTAATATTCATTAATTGTACTAGTTCAATTTGTACATTAATTACATGAATAGTACAGCTGTAATTGATATATATTAGTTAAAAGTTTGTCTATTACTCATACATAATGTGTTTGCCCAAGTTGATATACACTAACTAACTAATTCATTCATTCATTCATCACACATAAGACTAAGCTCTAGTTGTTATCCATAAACTCAGCTCAGCCACAGTTGATAGGAATAAGGTCAGCATATGTATTCATCACACATAAGACGTTAACTTATGTTCATATTAAGTAGTTCAGCATGTTTATGCATCATAAATATTTATATTTCCTTTCATTTTTATACACAATCAACAGATGGGAGAAACTGCATGGGAGGGCAGCTGTCAATCATGTACTTGTGAATTGATGGTTGATAACAATGGCAACACATATCATGGAATGAACTGTCGAGTTGGGTGTAATTTGACTGAAGCATATTGTGCGAAGGTTCGTTTAATCATTGGTTTGGATAATTATAACATTTACGCAACACTTCTGAAATAACTTTAATATGAGCAATAATTCATTTTTTTACTTAGTAATGGGCAAGAATTCATTCTCAATGGGTGTAGGATGGTTTTCAATGATTCTGAAAAAAGAAAAGTTAATTATAAAGGATAGTTATTAAAATTGTAGTTTTCATCTACAGCAAGGCCTGGTTTTGGACAACAGTGAAGGTGTCTGTTGTGAATGCAGAGCCATAAGCACAGCAAGTGTTACTACATCAGTTATCACAACAGAGGTTACAAGCTCTCCCGAAGGAACAACCACCGTCGAAACAACCGAGACATCTGCAGTTACTACTGTCACTACCCCAGCAACTACACAACCTTTAAGCCCAACCATGAAAACTACTTACGTTACATCATCAATCCCATCAACCACCTCACAGTCATCAACAACTGAATCGAGCAAGACAGCAGCGTCTAGTTCCATGCACAGTACCGTTGCACTCACAACAACTGCCTTTGCTACATCTGTAACGACAACAAAAGGATATTCGACTGAAGAAAGCACGACTTATGCATCACCAAGTGGTTCTCCATCCCTTTCAGTTAGCCCTGCAGGAACCACAACTCAGAATGTATCAACTATTCCATACGTTTCATCTACGTTGTCATCGATGAGCTCTACCCCACACGTGTCGGCAACACTACCCAAAACCACACCCGTTTCTACAACCAGTGTAATCACCACTGCAACACGTATGTATACTAAACAACTGTGATAGATATGCACATTGTAAATACAAAATCTGTGTATAATCAAGATAAGTAAATTCTGTTTTTTTACTCTTTGTAGGAGCATGTAGGTTTGATGAAGCCATGGAGTTGATTTCATTGCCGAAACACGTATATAGAACGTCATCTTCGACTGATGAGATAAAGAATTCATGGACACCCTTGGAATATGATTATGCACATCCTTGGATAGAGTACGAACTAGAAAATCCCAGTGACGTGATCAAAATTTCCACAAAGGGATACATTGGCGAGGAAGACGAGTATGTAACATATTATACTGTAGATGTATCAGAAGATGGGACTGATTTTATCAGACTTGAAAATCCAAAACAATCTTCTAACCCGATCTTCCCAGATGATGTTAATCCTGCAGAGGTATGTATTGTCAATGTGTTTCATTCAGTGTGTATGTGTCATGTTTTTAGATACCTGTTATAGTATGTACATTATTGGTCACCGCACAGTAGTTTAAACTTCGTTTTCAGATGCCCAATTTTATTATAATTTCGACTTAAATCTCTATAATATTTGATAAAAGTGTACATGTAACTATTGCAAAGTGTGAAATTACGTTAGCCAGCTGATTTGATTTGATTTGTTTTGTATCGTGAACACTAGGTATTTGTGGGTAATGAAGAACCAAATGTCATTGCTACCAATGAATTGCCTCCAGTCCCAGGCGTGGCAGTGCGGTTTGTGAGGATTTCACCAATAGCATACAATAGCAAACCAACGTTGTTGGATGTTGAATTAGAAGGATGTGAAGGTATTACAAGCACTTTGTTTTTCTTTCAGAATCTTACATATAGTGGTTTCAGCAGATACTCATTAATTTTAATTATAGTGACCAATAATTGTCAAATCATTTCAGTACAAATAAATATTTTTACAGATCGGTAGTTCATTTTTCAGTTTCTGTTTGATAGCATGGTTTATATTGTGAAATATTAAATTACAAGCTTGATGTTAGTAAATTGTATCACGATTAATTGATACGAGCTGAATTGACATCTTTACAGAATTCAGTGTTACAACTGAAGAATCAACTACTGTTGTGATCACTGAGGAATCAACAACTACTCAATATTCAACCATAACAACAGGTAACTATCATAGGATTTAAACAAGCTGACACATTATTGCATATTATTCAGCTGTAGATAAATAAGTGAGAGTCAAACACGAAACGTCTATATATACGACTGTCCTTCGTACATGAACGTATTAGGATATAATGTGATAATAAGTATTTGAGTTTGGTTTCTGCAAATAAAATATCATATTTGTATTAATTCTTGCATTATCCACGGTTGTGTTCACGAGTCATCCGTCACGAAATGTCATGTGTTTTCTGTTACAATTTACTAGCTGTTTTCATGGCTTTTTTACTTGTCTAATGATTATACTATTGAATTAAAAATACAGCCACTATGTACTAGTAGACTCCAACTGCGTAATGTTTCGTTTTAGTTGAGCTGCTGCCACGCTCAAAAGAGATCAGGCCTAATCATTCTAGATAAATGATGGGGCATTATGACATCTAACTTAGAGATCACATGTTATATATAAAATGTAGATAAACAAGATAACACCCATACTAATGAACGGCTACATAACATATGTAACACTATAGAATATGAAGAACATTCAAACATTTACAAAGATGGCATGCAAAAAAGCGCATGTTTTCATCATTTATATGCACGGTGAATTAGTCAACTGTTGAGTCACCTTTAATATACAAGGAGGGGAACCATAGCATACTTATTCTGGCAATGTCCATTATTTTAAATGCTGCATGAAGGAATTCACTTCTTCCGTTGATGCTCCAATTCATGGTCAATATGGTAATATGACTTGACAAAAAGGAATTCCCTGTTTAATAATGCGAAAATAGTAGAACCATTCGCCATAAGTAAATAAATCAAAATAAAATATTATAATATAATAATATAACACGTTTGAAACATATGGAATATGTCAAACGGTTAACAGTGATGTTTTGTTTTATTCGTAACAGTGATTCCAATTTATTTGCTTATTTTATAAACTAACGATTATTAAATATTTATTAATACCCAGAGAATAATAATATTAGTAACTTTTATAATTTCACATTTATTTAATTAGTTAAATACAACATGCGTTTTTGTTTTATTATAGAGGTAACTCGTCCTCAGTCGACAGTTTCTACAGTGTCCACTACCACCGTTGTACCTACCACTAATACGGAGCCCGTCACAATAGTGAAGACAACTAGCCAAACAACAACTGAGGGAGAATTGACAACTACAATTGTAGAAACTACAAGTGAAGAAATGTCGCCAACACCAGGCAGGTTCAACAAAATAATAACTTCATAAGTTTATAAATTTCTACATTTGCCACAGCCCTCCCCGTGAGGGAAATTCTGGGTGTCCGTAAAATTGTCTGAACTTGTAAAAAAACTTTCTGATTTGACTAGCATTCGGGTATTATTACGGAATGTAATTTCCCAGGATGTTATTTTTTCACAATTCCACTTCGTTCTTGGTTATTTGAAAATGATGATTGTTGTTGTTGTAGTTTTGTTAAAATTTCATTTTTATAGTGATATTTATGACATAGAAATGATAGAATGTTCAGAATATATTGACATATTTGTCATGATTTTGTAGGTGCTTGTGAATCAGATATGTCAGCTGAGTACGCTCCTTTGCTTGAGATAGAAAGTCACGATTCGTCTTCTGGTCACCGTAGTGTGGAAGACAATGTTATAACATGGACTGATAGTGATCCAGAAAAAGATAAACAGTGGATTAAATTGAAATATCCGAGACCTAGTCAAGTAATGCAAGTCGCGACAACAGGTTACGACGGCGATTTTATTGAATCGTATACTGTTGATGTTTCAACGGATGACAAAAATTACTATAGATTGAATAACGGGGAAGAACGCGGACCAGAACCAGAATCATCTCCTTTCAAAAAACTGTTAAATAAAGACCCACTACCAGAACAGGTAAGATCGGCACATTATGGTGTTCTGTTAATCACGAAATATTATTATGGCATTCATACATATAAGTAAATTCATGATGTAATTGTTTGTATAGATATTCCGAGGTAATGAGGACTCTATCAATGAAAAGACGAATGACATCTTCTTACCAGAAGAAATGTCTTGGAGTATACAGTACATTGTAATTACTCCACGTTTTTATGAAGGGTCAATATCCATGGTAATCAGTACAAAGGGATGCTCTCCAGGTAAATTATTTTCATCTTCATATTACAGATTTGTTTAACTATTTAATAGGAACTTGTTAATTGAACATGAACTTGCTAATTGTAATATATATTTATCCATTTCACGTTCGTTGTTGTCTACTTATTCTAAGAGTAATGACATCATAGCCTCGCCTCGATGAGATTTCGCAATGAGCCATATATAAGTATCACACATGTTTCCATTATTATTGAATGTATTAACCCATTGTTCCACACGGTAATTATGACCATTTGTTTTCAGAGGTAACAACTACTATTCTATCAACTACCACCACATATACAACTCCAGAGTCAACGACCAGTGAGACAACAACCGTTAATACTACAGTGTCACCAACTGGCCCAACCACAACTATATCAACAAGCACAACTGAGAAAAAAACCGGAGAGACCAGTACAATATACACTAGTGAGTTTAATTGTGTTTAGTCTGGATTTTGCATCTGATGTTACCAATAATCTGTCATAATAATAACATTTATCCGTCTGTATATAGAGTAGCATATTTCAGAATTGTTTTGCTGACATTTAAATTGAGTTATAGTTAGTGATTGGTCTAACGCAGTCCAATGAGGGCCCAACTATAATATTATAATAACTACGATATACCATTTTTTAAAACTTTGACGCTCTTCTTTAACAATGATATTTTATTTCTCTATTAGCTACCAAAACAACTACTTCATCGCCGGGTAAGTCAGAACTACTGATGTAAATACAAAGTATTGTATTACAATGTATTCTTTAATAGCAGGATATTTTCCCGAATTTTGAATGTATTTACCGTTTTTAAGTAATTTCAATGGTGTGGGCACGTCATATATATAACGCACAGATTGACCATTCATAAATACCTCGATATACTATTTTAGTGTTTTGATTGGGATTACCATAATAATATTTTTACCTGTATATTAGTAACAACAACTATTGCTGAGACAACGTCAACAGTGATATCCACACCATATGTTATAACAACAAATGAGACAACTTTATCGGAGTCTACGAGTCCAGAGGGAACGACCACTATAGTTTCTACCACTGGAAGTATGGCTCCTTCACCTTCATCTGAAATTCCCATCAGCCGTAAGATTTATACCATGACTTGTTTTTCTATAAAAAAATATCTAATATGTTTTAATGCTACACTAGTTATGATGATCATGTAGTGTCTAGCTACATGGATGGAATATGAAGTATTATACTTTAGTAATTATAGCAATTTTGTAAAAAAAAACATATATGTAATGTTATATGTAATTATAATAATAGCTTATTAATTATCAGATCTTTGCATAAATGAAGCTGGAATGGAAGAGATTGTCGAACTTGGCGTAACACAGCCTTTTACTGATGAACTTGACGATCAGGAAACCCCGTCGATTGTATTCGAGTTGAAAGAAAACAGTAATGTGGTAGAAGTGACAACCTCGGGACTTTCAGATGTTGGAGGAGATGAGTATGTGACATATTATGCAGTTGAACTATCAACTGATGGTTTTAATTTTATGAGAGTTAGAAACCCAAAGAAAATAAGACCTGGGATTGATGCATTGATACCGGCTAATTGGGGCATAGTGGATGACGAGGTATGTACCTTGAACAGTCGTATAATTATATGCTTGATTTTACCCATAACATGACACGTGCAGATGAACAATTTTTTTTGTAACAATATAATAAATACATTCAACATGAAATGCATTACAATGATACAACACATCGCCAAAAACATGTGTTCTAATTCTATCTGTGATATTCGTGTTCTGTCAATAGACATTATCATAGCTGTGTGCAGATATAACGAGGTATTAAGATTAAATCATTTTATTAGACATGTAACAAATAGTCGACGAGCAATCAACCCTAGCCATCGTAAACTATAATTCTATGTATATATTCGCTTTTCTCTAGATATTTAAGGGTAATCAAAATGGACAAGATGTAGTTACAAACTACCTACCTGACCTACAAGGATTCCCAGTGAAATTCATTAAATTAATACCCGTTGAATTTGAATACAAGCCGACATTATTGAACGTTGTCTTTAAAGGATGTCAAGGTGAGAGGCATGTTCCATAATTGAATTTAACAAATAACTGTTTTATTACATTTGTGTTGGTAACATACTCGATGTACATTTGTTTTGTAGCTGCAGCTCCGCCTCAGTCAACAGTTACAAGTAGTACAGTGTCCACTACCACCTTTGTACCAACTACTAGTTGGGAACCTACGTCAACAGTGAAGACAACTAGCCAAACAACAACTGAAGGGGCAATAACAACTACAATTGTGGAAACTACAAGTGAAGAAATATCGCCAACACCTGGTGCGTTTACTGAAATAACAAATGACAGACACCAGTTCGGCTAGATGGAATGCATTGTCTTATGGTTATGTTATGTGTCTATAAATTATGTCAATAAATACCATGATGCTTAATATTTCATTTCCAGAAGTAACAACCACTGTTTCATCAACCAACACTATTATAAGCAGTATGACTGGGTCCACCGTGAGCGAGTCAACAACTGTCAAGTCAACTAGCACACCTTCTGGACCAACCACAAGTGAAACAACAACCGTGAAGACAACAACTACCCCAGAGACCAATACTACTGTTGTGTACACTACTACACGACCAAGTCCGTCGACTTTAGGTAAACAGTTCTGCCGTGCGTTTCTGCTTTTGCTCACTTTATAGAATTGTTTTTGTTTTAAAAGTATTAATGTGGACGCTATACTAGCTTATTATTCGTTGTGTAGTTTATATTAACTTATATTTTCAATACGAATACAGTGACAACAGTTCCGAAAGATTCAAACAGTCAGTACACGCCAACTCAAAAGACCCCATCACAAATAAGTACAACTGCCACAGGTAAGATTTGTTGATAGTTACTCGCAATGTAAAAACCTAAATAATTATTGATTGTCATTCAGTGATCTTAATGCATTAATATTAACGCCAATGTATTCAACGTTCATTTGGACGATTTACTATTATATTCATTTCGGCAAGCCATTTCCGATGTGACAGTCAACGCGAGCACATCTACGTTCTTGAGAAAAAAAAATAAACTAACGATGAGACTCTGGTCTATTTCCTATTATTCTGCAATCTGAACTTGAATTTGCTTTGGTATTGTTTTATAATCGTAGTAGTGACATGTATATCTTCCTAGTTACTGTACTTTGTAATCATAGTTGAAATTACTAAAGATTTTGGTATATTCTTGGGCGTTCCTTGGTTCGTGTATGGAGCTTTCTAGCTCCATGGTGACACCAACATGCAGTGTCTTAACGTGGTAATCAAACTCTATTGCATCATTGGTAGATGTGTTTATTTTTTCACGGTCTACTGCGTCCACGTACATGTCTGAATATATGTATAAGATTCAATCATATTAAATCTTATTATTTTTTTTCACAATGCTAATTATTTTTTTTTTCATTTAGGATGTTTCTACCAAAATGTTATGTATGATATCGGTGAAACTTTACCTCTGACGTCCGAAGACCCGTGTATTACTATAAACTGTACACATCATGGTGTCGAATACCATAGCATCAAAAACAGTTGCTCCTATACATGCCCAGTAAGTAGTGTGCAAAAGTATGGACTTTCAGTCTGTATCCCGCTTCGTCCCGCCGGTTTAATTTTGTAAATGCTGCCATCAACGGCAGACTGGAGATACTTATGAAGTAGGGCGGAAATGGTCCGTCTATATCTTTTTTGTTAACTGGCAATCAATCAATCATTCACATCATAGAAATATTAAACAACACTGTTTACAATCTATAACGCTAAGATATATTAATGGTAACTTCCAGGGAAAAATGAAACTCGCAGATCAATGAGTTGTTATACACTCAAACAGATATTTATTTGATGACGGGGTTTTTCTGAAGTAGAAGCGCCATTTTTATTCAGTTGAGGGACTGCATGCGTGAACTAATGTTGACATACAATTCAACAGATTGACCAGTCTTAGCTGAATCTGAATCTATTAAACTAATGGTTAACATCGCGACTCACAAGCTCACGTAATGCACTTAATGTAAATAAACGTACATAACGTGTATATAATACACTTCCGTAATATAATGCAACAACGCACTGGTGACC